GCTTCTGCCTATGCCCAGTGCTTGTATAAATAAATAAATAAATAAATCTTTAAAAAAAAAAATCCCACTATTTAAAAAAAAAAAAAAAAAAATAAAGATGAAAAGGTAAAGTCCCTAGATTTCATCCTGGATTTGTGCATGTATTACTATTTAATTGCTGTGAGAACAAATTTAGCAGCTTAGAACATAATTTTTCTAAAAATCTGATAGCTCTGAAGGTCATAAACCAAAAATGAGTCTCACCAGGCCAAAACCAAATTGTTGACAGAGCTGCATTTTTTCCTGGAGAGTCCAGAAATGCATCCATAGCTTTGCTCATTTAGGCAGTTGGAAAACCAGTTTCTTGGGGATGCAGACTGAAGATCTCATTTCTTGCTGTCTGTTGCCCTACACCCTTGTCTTCAAAGTGAGAAAAGGCAGTTGAGTACTTCATATGCCATGTCTCTTCTGCCTCTTCATCATTAAATCTTTCTGGCCAGCTTCCTGCCTTTCTCCCAGTCTTTCAAGGACTCATGTTATTAGACTGGATGCACCTGGATAATTCAGAAACCAACCCCCCATAACAAGGTCCTTTTGACATGTTAAGTAACATGGCTCTAGAGATTGGGGGATGGACTTTTTTAAAAAAACATTTGTTTTTTTGTACAAGCACTGGGTACAGTCAGAAGCATGGGAAGGTGAGAGAGTTCACCAGAGCCACAGCAGGGAACAGAACAGGCAGACTGACGAAATACACTGCTGAGGGGAGCAGCGGGCTTGGCAGGAGAGGTCTGTGCACCATGTGGGACCCTCACCGGCTGCTAGGGATCGAACTGGTGCTGCAGAGGCTGCGGGCAGTTTCGCAGCCCAGTGCTCAACCACTGCGCCACCGGAGAGGCCCTGGGGATGAACATTTTTAGAGGCAGTTATTCTATCTATTACAATGGATTTTTTTGGGGGGGGGGTAAAATACAAAACAAAAGGCACATTCTTATTAATGTGTAGCTATGGAGCACTGATGGATAGAGCAGTCATGGTAAGAAGGGATGTAGGAAAGAAAACTATCATTGGATTCAGTATATTTGCTCAATTTGCTGGGGGTGGGCGGATATAATTGAGAAGCATAGCAGAGTGCCTGACACATAGTAAGCACTCAATAAATAGGAGATCTTCTATAATGGGAATGAATGCTTTTTAGTAATCCCACAAGAGGTGGTTTCTCTTTCACATTCAAATAGTAATTCAATCCTCCACCCAGTTTGATTGACAGGAAGGCCCCCCTTTTATCTTTTCCTCTGAGGCAATTCAAGGATCATTACTAGAATTCCTCCTTGCCTCTCTCTCTCTTGGTGCTGCTACCAGGGGTTGCTCTGTAAGTCACACCACCATCATTTCCCTCTGCTGCAGTTGTTGCAATCATCTCTCACAGCCCTTCCCAAGCACTGACCCTCACTGTTTAGTTCATTCTCCAAAGCTCAGCGAAGACATGGCCATGAGAAAGTGACTACAATGCAGGCAGGGAAACAAACTTGGATATTCATCACTACTGTTCACAGAGACCATTGCCTGCACCCCTACATAATGGACTCCTCTGGACAATTTCTCTCTCATTGCTCTACTGCTGAGCAAAATCTGGCTGCCACAGACCAGAGCAGGCTTTGTTCAGTAGGCTTGAAATGTTCAGGCATTCCGTACCTCTGGATCCTTTCTTGAGGAGGTTCTGATTTTATCTCAGAAGAGTAAAAATGCCCACTGGTGCATGCTCCCTGAACAACACCCTCTTACAAAGGGCTAAAGCAGTTTGGCATCTTAAGCAGCAAGGAAATGCTGGCATTAAAAAGAGTTGTTTCTTGAGCCTCCGTGGTAGCGCAGGGGTTAAAGTCTCATTGCTATCAAGCTATCACCAGCCTTGGGGGCATGAGTTCAATTCCAGGCCAGGTTGCTGCCCCCTATGGCTCAGCAGACCTCTTGCCTAGCCTGCTGCTCACCTCAGCAGTGTATATCAGTAGATCTCCCTGTTCTGCTCCCCATTCTGTCTCTGGTGAATTCTTCACCCTCCCCCGCCCCCGCCCTGGTATAGACCCCAGTTCTTGCATGCATAAATAAAATTAATCTAAAAAAAAGAGGGAAAGAAAATAGTTGTTTATTGTATCCACCAATATTTCAAAAACATGGAGGTCTAATTTCAAAACCTTTACTTGCATTAATTTTTGCACTTCCCCCCATATAGCAATCTCACATTATTTTTGAAGGAAACTCACAGTCCTTTCTAGGCCAGCTTCTCACTGTGTACTGGAAAAACTGAAACCCAGAGAGGTGGAGTTATTTGCCTGTCACACAACTCATTAGCAATAAATACACAATAATGAGAATCAGGTATTCTAACTTTCTATATGCTACTTTGAGAAGCATTTTTCAATTCACGATAAAAAAACAAACATTTCCAACACCTTTATGTGGTTTCTTTTGCTGCTAAGCAGAACTGGAAATCTCTGTCATTCTTTATACATCTGGGGATTTTTCTTGTTGAAACCTAATCTCCAGTGCCATCCTACCAAGAACCTAAAATATATATGCAAATCTACAGCTGCAAAATGAAATGAAAATACAAATATGATGAGAAAGAAAACTATTTGTGTAACAAATATACTTAATTTCATTTTTTCAAGTCACTGAAAAGAAACTAAATGCTATGACAAAGGATGTAGATTATGCCTTTTGAAAATAGCATTGGTCATGTTTCCAATAAAAGTATTACATGCTCATTTTGGAAAATCCAGAACAGTATAATACATCTTTTTTTTAATGGAACAAAATTAAGATCATACATTCAAATATTTTCAAAGAATCTAGTAGTCTTAATTTTATTTACATGCGTTAATAACTTTTTATGTATTTTTCACTTGAAAAATATGCAAGACCCCCCCTTTTATTAAGAAATTGAATTAGTCTATCTGATGAGAAATTAACTGAAATTCTTGTGGAGCAAAAATGGAGACCATGATTTCCAGAAATGTTTGGTAATTTACTGGCTCTTTTAGCTGATATCTCTGCCACACCAACTTCTTACACTGCTAGTAACCTCTACAAATAAAGCAGTTCAGAAAAGCAATATTTACATGAACTTTACCTTGTAATCTATGTGGTCTTGTCAAATACTGTTAGACTATTCAACAATACATCAATTTCAATATATCCATTTCTTATCAACTAATGTTCTTCCTATACTCCCCTAATCGTACCTTACTCTACTTACTCTATCACATTAAATCATGTATAAGGAATGTTTTCATGGTTTACATCATATTATATTTAACCTATCATGTTTTCTCTTGGGGTTAGATTAATTTCATTCTACAAGCATTTCAAAGTATTAACTACTTATGTGAAATCACTGGCAGCATTTTAACACTCCTTTTTCAGAATCAAATATTTGGTTTTTCATTAGTGCTGAATCTGCATAAAATTGATGACCTTGGTTGTCCTTGTAATTATTTCACTTCTAAACCTTGGACTTCATAGAAAGAATTAATTATAGCATATATTTTTTAACTGCTAAATTGGATAATGGTTTAATAGCTCAAGGGGATTACTTGCAGGAATTTGACTTATAAGATTCAATTTCCCCCAAGTCTGTTTTTCTGCAGTGATCTATGGCTTTGCTTTCAGTAACAAATCCAAATGAGGGTAGGGCATGGATTTTCATTGTAAGCCAACCTTGCAAACGTAACCGGAAGCCTAGGTATACAGGCAAAGCATAATAGAACATAATATGGAAAGGTTCACCTAAATTCAGAAAATTGTTATACAAAATGAGCAACTTTCTTGATTGAAAAAATAAATTAAAAACTGTACCTATAAGGTAGATCAATTCATATTAAATAATGTATTAAAAATATTAGTTTTATTTTCATATGCTAGGTGTTTATAATCTCAGTGATTTCCCTGACTGCACATAAAAACACCTTCTGAGGAATTAAATGAAAATCTATCTTCAAGCACTGTCCCTAGAGAGTCTTGCTTCTTTTGGTCTGGGGCTGGGTTGAAGCATCAGAATTTTTAAAACTCTCCAGATGATTCTAATGCATAGAAAATATTGAGAATCACTGTGTATAACTATGAGGACTGAAATGTATTTTCTCTCCTGAATAAAGGGATTGTGCAAAATTAGAACCAATTCCTGGGGACTGTGGGATACATGAATCATAATTAGGCCCTCTAAGTGTCAACCACAGTCTGGGCAGGGAACACCTGTGGAGTTAAGAATTAAAAATGAATGATGCCCTTTGTACTGTAATGATAATACATCCTACTCTCTGGGAAACTATTAAAATACTCTCCTTAAGAATTTTTTTTTGAAGTCTATTTTAAAGTGTCATAAGAAAAAGTAATATGAGGTAGTCTAGAAAGCTGTATGTACTTAACTAGCAGAGTTTTCTGCAAAATATTTTGGTATTTTATTTATGTGTACCCCATGCAGTGAAAGGGGAGAATGGGAATTTGCCTGCAAATAGAAAGAGCTTTCACATTTGCATTACATCAAGGAAGTTTGACTCGGCCTAACTACCTCTTATTGCACGTTTCAAATCTTGAGGTCTGTTTGATACATAAAATTTATGAGTCAAGCTTCATTTAAATGATAATTTATGTGTTTAGAATGCCATTTCTAGCCTTGTTCTTAGATACACCCCTGGAGCTGATCAGAGTGTGGCGGTTCCTTTGTTGTCAGGGGAAACTTCACATTCACATTCTTTCTAAAGGGATTAGTAAAGGAAGACAAGAAAATAGCCCCTTAGTGTTTCTGCCAGTTAATGGGGACATTTTTCCTCCTATATATATCATGATAAGTAATTGAATTAGTACTCCAGTAGGAAAAGGTTTGTTATTTCATACTCCTATAGTTTTTTCTTAATACCATGAAATTAAAGACATGCCAGCATGGAGCTGCATATTCCTGATCACTTTCAAATAAGCAATGTAGTTTATTATTTCTTTTTTTGTGCTTTTATAGCACACGCTGTGCAAGATAATTGACTCCATGACAGATGTCTATATATAAGAGGAAAATTTATTTAGGAAGGAAAACACATATGTTAGTTTAATAGGGGACTATTCATTATGTGGCTCACAAGGTGCTTTTTGACTACTTGTAAATTGAAATTAATATTTTCTCTTGTTCTAAATATGTAGAAGCAAATCTGACTGTTTTATATGACCAATTTGAAGTTTATTCTTCTATATGAATGCTACCTTCTGTTCTCCATCAAGGATGAGTGCTCTTACATAATGTTTGAAGTGCTGTGGAATGACAAAGAATGCACTTTCATGTCCTTCCAGATACGTCTGTAGGCCTGCACATTCTCCAAGTCGTCCAGGATAAGATCTGTCTCTCCAATCCATAATATAGTGTAAAGATAACAGGACAGGGAAGATTCTCCATAGACATTTCTGCACAAAAATGCCACTTTTTTCCAGGACAAACACGAGAGGGCAATAGCATCTTAAGTCCCTAGCACTTTTGTAAGGTAGTTTGGTTTGGGGAACTGGCAACATTCAGTAGAAAAGGCTGACGGCAAATTGAAAATAGAGGAGGCTTGTCTGTCTCTACTGATTTTGCAGCTCTGCCTGAAACCAATTCTGCTGCCTATAAATGAACCTTCCCCTTCTTTTAGCTACAGGAATTTTTCCCAGGAAAAAACTGGACCTTTTGTCCCCATTAGTTGATTGGATACTTTTTGCAATAAGATTGCACTATTAATATAAAATTAAAGTATCTAATAGATACAGAGAGATTTCCATATATTGAAAAGATGAAAGTTTAATAATGTTCTATTCAAGAGACAGAACCTTTTCTTTAATGGGAAAAGGAGAAACCTTTTACTCATGCATGTCTCTTGCCTCTTGAACTTTCAATGGCTTAGCCTTTTGTACACTAGAGGAAATAAGGGAAAAGACAGGAGATTTTTATAATTAAATGGGAGGTAGCCTTTACCACAGTAAAACCGGGACACTAAGGCCAGTTTTGTAATGACACCTCCAGACTGCAAAGCCAAGCTTAGGTGAGGTGGAAACCTTCAGTCAGGAGAAAGGAGCCTTTTCACCTTCACCAGGGAAGTGGAGGTAGTTGACTCCACTTCCTAAGCCTGTGCTAAGCTTGTGTGCTTAGTGGCTACTCTGCAACAGACTGGGAGGCTGCCCTGAGATTGTAACGTCTGGCCTCTAGTTTTCTTTGGCTGTGGCTTCCTCAGGCACACTGGCTCCTGGTTTGCACAGCTGAAGCGATGGCTGTGCCCTCCAGGATCTTGAGGTCTTGAGAGAAGGCTGCCTTCAGGTAACATTGCAAGTGTTGTCTCCGCCACTGGTTCAAATTTTAAGATAAAAACGTTGTCACTCAGTGAACAGGAAAATTATCTTGACATAAAAAATGTACCAAATTGAACTTAAAAATAACTACCATGTCCTTAGGACTCCTAGCCCTTCCCCATTTCCTTTTCCTTTCACCCAAAGTGACTTTTTATTTAAGGGAGGATCCCAGATGTTTGTGTTATTAATAATCCAGGCCAGGATGGAGGGATAAATAGCTTAAGGGACCCCTAAAGCTGAAGAGCAGTTGCTGAGCAGTGAAGTGATCCAGTTGTCTTCTAGTATCTTGTCAGTGACCATTTCTTTCCAGGATGACTTTCTCATCTTTGACCAAGAGCTTAGTGGTGGTGGTGGTGGTGGTGGTGGTGGGTGGTGTGTGTGTGTGGTGGGGGGGGTCACCCAGCTGTCCTTGGAATTTAGACTGGGAAGTGGAGTGGGTGAAGGCAAGTTCTGAAGTGTATCCTGAACTTTCCAATGCCCCAGGACTATTCTGTTCGGGGTCTTTTGGGACATTCCTAGCATTGGCTTCCCTATGGAAACCAGAATGGGATTTTCTTTCTAGGAATGCCCCCCATGGCTGCAGTGCTTGGCCTCTTTCGCTGAGGTCTCTCTCCCACCTGCCAGTTACATGAGCCCTTTCCAACACAGCCTTCAGTCCACTGGCTTTTCCTTCAACGTTTTCATTAGCATCCTCCCTTGTCCCCAACCCTCTCTCTTCCCTAAGTTAGGACTCAGTAAGAGTTGCTGCCAGGAAAGACCAAGTTTAGGGGTGAAATGATCAGAACGTATGTGCTGAGGGATGTGCAGACAGAAGTGGGACGCCAGACTAGGGAAGGGGGTTCCTGCCAGGTTTGGGGTGTGGGCAGGGAAGCACTACGCAGACCCCAGTAAGGTGGCCTGAATCCAGTGACCCAGCCGGTGTGTATGTGTGTGTGTAAATTGCACGTTTTTCACAGTTTCAACCCCGGTGTCCAGCTGCCAGTCCCACACACTCTTTGCAGGACCCCGCAACCAGCGGCAGGGGCAGGGGGAGGGGTCTTTAGTTCTCCAGGGAAATGTCCTCCCAGCCCCGCGCCGGGCGGAGGGAGAGTCGGACATTTTCCTTGGCCTTTCTCTGGGCAGCTGGCGCGGTCACCTCTCAGGGCTGCTTTTAGGGACACGGACTGGGGCGGGGCAAAGGAAGACTTTCACCCTGGCGTTCAGCCCCTTTCCCGACTCTCACGGAGGAGAGTTGCAGCTCGCGGCCTCCTCTTGGCCGCACGTGCGTCCACAGCACCCACGACCAGCGACCCCCGCAGGGACGCGCCGGGAAGCCGCGCGCCGCCAGGAGGTGACTCCGTGGGGACCGAGATCCCATGCCCCGCGGCCCCCGCACCCGGTGGGCAGGGACGGGGCGGAGGCGGCGAGTGCGGGGCGGGTGCGGGCAGCGGGGCGCGGCGGGGCCGCCCCGCGGGAGGGGCTGGCGCTGTCCCCGGAGCCCCGGGCGAGCCGCGGACTGGGCAGGGCCGCGAGCGCCCGGGAAGGGGGAGCCCCCGCCGCCGCCGCGTGCTCAGCCTGTCCCCGCCCCGGGAGCCGGAGCCTCCCCACAACTAACTCCGCCCGCCGCGCCCGCAGCCGCGCCGCCGCCGGCCCCGGCTTCCGTCCCGGACCGTGCCCGGCCGCGCAGGTTGGTGCCGCGCCGCGGGGCGCGCAGGGCGAGGGCGGGGGCGGGGGCGCGGGAGGGGCCGGGAAGTTGGGCAGCTGCCGGGCAGGCACCGGGACCCCGCACCCCGGGCTCCCCCGGCGTCCCGGCGCCCCGGGCGGTGGCGATTTTCCTCCCGGGCTGCTCGCGTTGCGGGATCCGGCGCCGCGGCCAGGGAGGGTCTCGGGGACCGAACCGGCTTCTCACGCCCCACACGTCCCAGGGACCCCCGTCCCCACCAGCGCCAAGGCCTTGGCAGTGTGTGAGGGGTCACCCTTCCCTCCAGTCCTCTCACCTTGCACTTCTCCTTGCGACGAAGTGTTCGCGTATTCCTCGCCGCGGCCGTCTCCAACTTGCAGGACTCTCCATAACGGGGAGCCGGGGAGCGAGACTCCCCCGTTACCAGGCCCGCCCCTCGGACTCGTTCTGGGGCGAGGTCGGGGTGGCCGGGCTGTGGGGAGGGGCCGCGCTGGAGTGGCGCCCGGGGGCGCTTGAGTAGCGGGGAGCGCCGGGAAGAGGTGGGGGTGCCCGTGCCCGTCCTTGCGGGGCTCCGCTCTCCTCCCTGCGGTTTGGCCGGCCTCGGAGCGTGACACGCCGGCGAAGGGTGAGCCCAGGGGCGGGTTGAAAGTATTCAGCGATGGAGTTAAATCGGGACTCGAGCTGGTGTCAGTCACCTTCGCGTTTGCGTGGCCTTGAGACACTCGGGCCCTCGGCGTCCCGTCGGCGACCTGCGCGAGGCTCTGCCCAGCGCCCCGGGTGCTTCTGACGACCACGGATGGGCTTCGGCGTGTTGCTGGCTTTTGAGCCCTGGTTTCTGGTCTCGTGAAACTGCCTCGTGGCAGGTCCTGTGTTCTCATCATCTGAGTTCAGGTCCTTAACTGACTTGTAGTTATGTCTCTCCAGGTGATTTGACCTGTGGCTTTGTTGGGGTGAAAGACTCAAGTTGCTGGATGTGATCATTAATGTTCGCAGTGGAAATCGTCTCTTTCCCACTGAAGTGCAAAGCTGTGAATTTGACTCACATCTTTCTATGGTCATAGAAATTCAAATAACATAAGATTGGTCCCTTTTGGGAAATAAGAACTTTATTTGCAGATGTTTGCCAATCTTTTTCGGTTTCTCTTCCGGCTAAAGTGCAGATTTCGATTTGCTGCTAATTTTATTTTTTTTTTTAAGATTTATTTATTTATTTATTTATACAAGCACTGGGTACAGTCAGAAGCGCGGGAGGGTGAGAGAATTCACCAGAGCCAGAGCGGGAACAGAACAGGCAGACCGAGAAGTACACTGCTGAGGGGAGCAGCGGGCGGCAGGAGAGGTCTGCTGTGCCAGGTGGGACCCTCGCCTGTGGCTGGGGATCGAACCGGCGCTGCAGAGGCTGCGAGCAGCTTCCCAACCCAGCTCTCAACCGCTGTGCCACTGGGGAGGTCCTGCTGTTAATTTTAATAATTCAAGAAATAGGCTTTCATTTTAGTAAAATAAGTTCAGCTACTTAGCTCAAAGGACATGTGCCTTATCGTTTGTAAATTTTCAGTGGTTAATAAGATTCAATTACTTTATGAAAACAGGTAAATGGCCGATAGTCACTTCAGATTTGATATTAAATAGCTAAGTCCTGTCATTCATGAATACCTGACTTAATAGACATGTCATGAGTTTCTGTATTGTGCAATGCAGAGTGCTCTGTGCTTCAAAATATAGAAAATATAGAATGTAGAATAAGTTCCTTGTCTTAAGGGGGATCCCAAATTAAAGTTTTTTTTTATTTCATATTTTTACATGATCATCAAGTATATTTTAATCACTACATATGGCAAGTAGAATGCCATCAAAAATATCTTATCGAAGGCCCATTAAGGTCATTTTTGGTGAATCTACTGAATAGATTGGAACAAATAACATCTTTTGCTAAACCAATGTTTTCTGAAAGAAAATTTCAAAAATTTCTGCTCCATCAACTGAGAGACATTCTTGGGAATAAAACAAATTCTGTATTTTCAGAATGAAAGCTCAGAAAAGTATGCCAACCTGTATGATGTGGTAATCAAATGTTAAAAGCTATAGAAATTTTATTTCTAATTTAGTCAGAAAGCTAATTTATGGTACCTCTACACAATTTTTCCCCCACAACTTCTTGAGAAAGGAAATTATAATGTCTTGGAAAAAATAAGGGGGTTGAATATAATATTTTTAATAAGTAGAAACTTGAATACTTTAAAGATCAAGTGGGCCCTGAATTGACTGGAAATTTGACTTAAAAAGTTACAATATTGTTAGTGAGAGTTTTTTTTAACTATTTAAATTTTTTAAAAAAGATTTATTTATTTATGCATACAAGAACTGGGGTACCTGCCAGAGGTGTGTGTGTGTGGGGGGTGAGAGGATTCACCAGAGGCAGAGTGGGGAGCAGAACAAGTGGATCCACTGAAAGATACTGTTGAGGGGAGCAGTGGGTGAGACAGAAGAGGTCTGTTGCTCCATGTGGGTCACTTCCCTGGCCAGCGATCAAACTTGCACTGCAGTGACTGTGGACAGCTTCACAATGCTGTGTTTTAACCCCTTGCACCACCAGGACGTCCCAATGTTTAAAAGAATTGACTTGAGTGAAATGGTGGACAGAATTCTATCACAAAAAGATGACCAGAGTTCTTTCCTTCCACATTGAGTGGTATTTAGTGTGATTCAGTGACATCCCTTGTTCTCTTCCTGCTCCTAGGAAAAATTCTTCCATCTGCTGAGCTTTCCTAGCCAGCACTGTGTTTTGGAACTTTGATTCAACTCACACTCTGAGGCCAGGCAGGCTGAGGGACAACCCGAGGGATGTGAAGTTAACTTGACAGTTGGCCCTTTTGGCTCAGTATCTCTGTTTCTTTATTTGTGAAATGAGATTAAAGATCTTGTCACTGCCCTGGAAACTGTGTGATTTGGCATAATAGTCATGACTACTAAGCCAGAAAGCTTCTTGTGTGTATAAGAACTTTCTTTATTTCTTTAACACCTTTATTCAGTAAAAGCAAATTGTTAAACCACATACAAGTAGCTTAAAAGAAGGGCCCAGATTACAGTTGGTGGTGGGGCCTCCCTGGTGGCGCAAGGGGTTAAGAACCGTACTATGAAGCAATCCAAAACCTCTGCAGCAGGAGTTGGATCCGGGCTGGCCAGGGAGCAACCCACATGGCACAACAGACCTCTCCTGAGTTGTCGGCTGCTCCCCTCAGCAGTGTATTTTAGTGGATCTGCCTGTTCTATTCTCCACTCTGTCTCTGGTGAATCCTTTCACCCCCCCGCATCTCTGGCCTGTACCCCAGCTCTTGTTTGCATAAATAAATAAATCTTTAAAAAAGAAAGAAAGTTGGTGGTGGTGTCAAGTCTACTGGGATTAGGTTTGTCTTATCACCTACAATTTATTGTACTGAAGAAGATAATAAGGCCTCATCCTACCTAAGGTTGAATAATTAGTGGCAGAAGTAGAGCTTATAGTTCCTGTTGCCTCATAGTTAGATATATGGTTTCTCCTATTCCTGTATCATTTGGATCCATTAAAACTTACAGTGATAAATTGTATATGATTAGGAATTTTGACTTTGGGTTCTGATAAGCCTGGATTTGAGTCCTGTCTAGGCATTTACTTACTGATTTGGGTAAGTTACTTAACAATGAACATCCCTAATTTCTCATGTTCATAGTGGGAATAATTGTGGTCCCTAGCTAAAAAGGATTATAGTAAGGATTAAATGCACTAATCCATGTGAAGTAATTTGCACATGGCTTGTTATTTAGTACAAAGATACTACTCAAATAATTATTTCATTTTCTTGGGGTTGGAGGAAGCCATTTCAAAAGTTCAAATTAAAAAATACATGAATACATAAACAAATATCCCTCTAAATACTTTGAATTTGCTTTTCCTCAGCTGACTTTCATTTATTTAAGTTAACAAATATTTGAGTTTGTGTTGGGCCTTTTTCTAGGCATAGGCATATAATGAGGCACAAGACAGTCATGGTTACGCTTTTTATGACCTAAATGTCTGGGAGGGGAAGGAAATAGAAATTTTTTGATATTTGTGACTTCTGCCATGATGGGATAATGCAGAGAACTACAGAAGACATACAGCACAGAATGGTGAGGGGCCTGGGTGTGGATGGGTGACACAGAGTGCATCACTGCATCCTACTTGAGCTTGATGGTGGGCAGGGAAAACTTCCCATGAAGGAATGAGCAATAGCACCTGACGAAGTTGAAGAATTAAAGAAGGTTCCAAGGGGTTAGAGAATGATGCATTAGAGTGGATGTCAGGTAGATAATACGAGAGCAGGAGTGAACAATGTCGCTGTCTGGAGAACACAGCTATACCTAAAGGGAGCAGTAGATACTCAGCTCCAGCCAAGTGTTGGTAGGTTGGGATGCAGGTCAAGTATTACCAGATGCCATGATTCTTTTAATAGAAGCTTGAAGTTCTTATTTTATAGGTATGGAATCTCTCCAAATGTGAAATGACTCAAATGTTTTTTAAACTATAGTATGGTCCAAACCAGACACGCTTGTAGTTGGAATTCAACCCATGGGCCACTTAACGAACTCAGCATTTAAGGAAATAAGTTCAGTGTGGTCGAAGGAATGCGTCTTAGAAAAAGATGAAGGGAGTGCCCCAGGTAGGGACTCGGCCACATCATTCAGGGCCCGTGGACCTGGGTAGAATTCCATCCCAGGTTGGCTTTAATCCTAAGAGCAATGGGTGACATCAGAGACTGAAACATGAGGGATGCAAATGAGATTTGTGTTTACAAGGTATTTTCTGGCTATTGTATGGAGAATGCCTGGTAAGAGGCTTTAGTGGAAACTGGATCATCAATTAGGAAGCTATTGCAATAGTCTTCATAGCAATAGATAAACATTACCAGAAACGTATACAACCAGAAGAAGAAAGACGGGTGGATTCCAGAGGTGTGTAGGATGCTTCCACTGTAGGGAGATAAGTCTCCATTAATCACTCAGGTTCTGTCTCTCCAGGGAGCAGAGGCAATGACTGTTTCTATTCCAGACAGCCTTTTAAATGGCATTTGTATAACAAGGAGCCTTAGAAGATAGAGGTAGTTATTCCCTTGTGGAGCAAAGGGCAGGTAGGCTTATTGTCTAGTATAAAAGATCCAGTCCCTGATCTCAGGGTTCCCCTTCTGTAATGCAAGTCATTGAGGTTACAGGTATTACCTGTTCTCTTTGCATCATACTGTGGGCATTGGGTTTCAGGAAATGGGCACACTGCTACTCTTGCTACTATTATTCCTGCTATGGATATTCCTGCTACCGCTACTTCTATGAGTAACGTAGTCCTTTGTCTCTGACTTCAAAAGCTCTTCTCCCAGCATGTATGAAACTGACATGCTTATTTGTTAACTTTTAGGTCGGGAAAATCTCAGATCCTTCACAATTCTTTAATACCACAACTACTTTGTCCATTTAAATTTAAGTATAGGTTAATTCAAATAAAAATAAATTAATAAATTTAGTGAAATAGTCACATTTCCAGTACTTGATAGGCATATGTTGCTAGTGGCTACTACAGTGGGCAGAATAAATATTCAATATTTCTATGGCTACAGACAGTTCTGGACATTGTTGATTTCAAGCTTCAGATTTTCTTGTGTTTTGGGGTGAGTAGAATTGGTAGAGATTGTCTATTTTGACAGCATAAAAATAATGCTTGTTTTTGCTTTAGGTTTATAGGAATTCTTTACACAAAGGAAACATCTCAGTTTGGGTAGTTGATACAATATTTAGTTCAGGCTTGTTGGGACAAAAAGGTAGAAAATTACCTGTAATGTCAATGTAGAGACTTGGCAAACTGGGGCCATGT